AACTAGGAGTTCTAGCAGTCTGTTGTTAATATATGTTGCCTCTCCTTTGTCATTTTTCATGCCTGCAGCTAAAGAAAAAGGTTCAATTCAAACCAGAAGTAATTTTGCTAATGTTGAAAATTACACTGATCCTTGTTACCTTAGTGTCTCTAACTGTTATTCCGCATATTACTTTTAATGTACTTTAGCTCACATTTAAATAATAGTATTCAACCATCCAAACATAAATTCATTCAAAGTTCCCTTTTCATTAAAAACACCTGTTCATATATAAACTAAATTCCATTTTAAAGTCATAAACAACTTTAGCTGGACATTATATTAATACTAACATAAAAAACTCAACAAAACATATCTAACTACATCAGCAATGTCAAAAATAAAAAAAAGGCAGGGGTGGTAGGGCATTCTGTTATAGAATAAATGAGGTTTGGCACACTATATATGTATGAGAAACACACACACATTCAGCCATTTGCACTTAGAGTAGATAGACAACCAAACATTATGATGGTAATACGGAATCCCCCCCAATCCTTCTTAAATTGTAGCTAATTTTTGAATACATTTAACCTTTGAAAAGTGTTCAGATTTCAGGTAAATTTTAATTTTTATACAACAATTTAATTCTTATAGAAAAATTAGAAAGCATTTTCTAAATTTTACACATCCACATATATAATGTTCACTTTACAAATCAAATATGTATTATAGTATTTGCATTTCCAAAGTATGCTGCTAGACTTCCCTCTCTAGAAATCTGTTACCATAATTTTAGTGTAATACATGCAGCTAAGCACTTAATTTTTTTATTGAATTTGTATATTCTTTACAAAATCTTTTGAAAGATACCACTTTCCCTTTGCATCTAGGCATTAATCTTAAATACAATTTCAATTTTTTTTTTTTTAGTTGACTGTCAAAGCTGCTTTGAATCGATCAAAAAAAAATGTTTCAATTCATGTATAAATCGAAAATTTTCATACCGCATTTTTAATCTAGATTATTATCTTCATGAAATTTTACAATCTTTCATTTTATTTTTCCTCAATATACAGGCATTTTTGACTCTTATTTTGATTTTAAGGGTTATACATTGCCTCCAACTACTACGGATTCTCCATAGTTTCTAGGGAAATTCATGAAACACTACGAGCTACAAAAAGTATGGGAAAAGGTACAGATTTTACAGAAATGATAGGAGAACCAGTATACAAAATGGAACCAATTCATTCGATGATTGACTGAATACTTTTGTCATGTATCCCGTGTTGAATGCATTGCTGGTTTTGAAGAATAGCCAATTGTAGATCAGTACAACTCCAACAGTTAATCACTTGTCTATAGTTCCCTACACTTCCCAGGTTTGTTGCTGCTGTATAGGGCTTCTTTAGCCTGCCTCGGCTCTACTGTTCAGATCACAGTGAGAGCACAGCATGTGTGTCTTGTGAACAACTATGATTCAACTGGAAGTTTTTTGTTAATTATGCCACTTCAAATGAAGAAGCTAAAATTCTCAATGCAGAAATTTAAAAATTTATTTTCCTCAGAATTTCCATGCATTAAAGCATCCAAAATTTCTGTGAATCATGCACACTGCAGTGTATGCAACAAAGACTTCTCAGTTGTGCATGGCAGAAAGGATGACTGCAAACATGTTTCTTCTCAAAAGCATGAAGAACTTGGCATTGTAAAATCTAAAGCAATAATGAATTTTTTCATAAAAGCCAAATGCTATTTTGTTCGAACTTTAATTCAACATAAACTACTGATTAGAGTTTTGGATTATTCCAAACAGCTGTTCAAAGCAATGTTTCCGGATTCTGCCATCACAAAAAAATTTAGCTGTGGCCATACCAAAACTGCTCCTATTGCGAAAATGCTTGCAGAAAGTACTGTTGCCATTATTGTAATATCAATGTGCAATACATCATTTTCTCTGAGTACTGATGAAAGTAATGACAACAAATGCTAATAAACTGCATTCTTTGATTATAACATATTATAGCAAAGAAAAAAAGAATGATAATTACTTCATTGATTTCTATTTTAGAATGCACGAATAATATCGGAGAAGGTACTTTTAATTGTATAAATGAAAACTGTAAAAGCAAAGGTTTAGAATGGAAAAATTGCTTATAATTTTCTTCAGATAATACTAGTAATATGATGGGAAAATTTAAAGGTGTAGCATCGTTTATCAAAATTCATCAACCAAATATAGCCATGCGAGGTTGTCCATGACACCTCTTGCATATAACTGCAAGAAAAGTTATTTTACAAATTAATTGGCTCATAAATCAAAATGCTGTTAACGTATATATATTTTTATTTGGAGAAAGTACAAAAGGGAGCACAGTTTCAAAGTTGCTCAACAAATTTCTGTGAATTGCACACACTGCAGTGTATGCAACAAAGACAGAATGCAAAATCTCATAAAATTTCAAAATACTGCAGTACAAAATGGTTGTCTCTTTTAGAGTGTATAACTTTGGAAACAGTGGGATGCTCCGATTAATTCTTTTGATGATCAACGACATAACACTGAGAATGAAGAAAAGAGATTGCAAAACATTACAAAAAAAGTTATGATCACCTAACCACCAAATTGTACTTATTATTTTTTAAAAACATTTTGACTTTGTTTATAACAGTAAATATTAATTTGCAACAAGCTCCTTACATACATAAATTGAGAACTTAATGAACTTTTAATGAATTATTTGCTAGATTCGTAACATCATCAGTAATTGCTAAAGAAAATGCAGATCTTACTCTCTATACATTTCAGAAGTGCTGTAAACAAAAAAAAAAAAAAAAGAAAACCGAGTGACTGGTGCAGAGAATTTATATTTACAAAAATGCTGCGCTGAATGAAAGTGAAGTGAAATTATTTTTCAATTCTGTGAGCGTTTTTTGTAACTGCATGTTTATATATAATAGATAAATTTCCACTAAATGATCCATTTCTAAAACATGCTGAAGTTGCTGATATCAACTTGAGAATTGAAGTTTAATTTTCATCTGTTCATTTCTTGATGAATACTTCCCCATCCATTATTAATGAAAAATATCTTAATCAAGTGGAAATTGAGTTTTCTATGTATTAAGTAGATGATTTGAAAGAAATTGCATTTATTTGCAATATTGGAGAAATTTCCAAAAGATATGAATGGGTGTATTAAATACAAATTATTACTTTGTAAGGTCCCTCACTTGAAATCTAAGTTAATGTTGGAAGTGAGGAACCTAGGAACTGATAAGCGAATAATCGCTAGAGTTCGAAGACAGGAAACAACAAGAGAGAAGGGTAAATAACCCTTTATTATTTCTATAAGATTTCACAAAACTCCGCCTGAGAGTGAACAATAAATCACACTTTGGACTTGAACTTAAAAGACTAAGAATTAAACTGAAACTAAGATTAACTAACTAAGTATAGCCAAAGCTATCAAGGTACAATGAGAGTTGGCCCCTTAACCTATTTTACTACGAAGCTTAGCAGGAGCCTGAGTACGGCCGAGCCTATAACAGCTTTGAGAGAGAGAGCGGCCAAAAAGGCAGACGCGCGTAGTTCAGAAACTCTGTTTCTCTCTCTGTCTCAATAAGTAACTTCGTGGGTTAAATACCGCTCCTTCTCATTAAATATTCAGCAAATTCCAAAACTACGTTCTGGCCGGAAGTTAAGAATTTGACAGGAAAGGAACTTTAACTTAAAATTTAACTGTTAATAAAATTAACATAATTCTTACAACTTGTTGTAATGCTTGCTGTTTTAATAATACCTCATTCAAATGAGGCTTGCGAAGGAATTTTTTCTATTATTAAAAAAAGGTTAAGTTTGATCAAATTTAGGTCCTAAAATTCCCGAAGCAGTTTTGATTGAAAAAATAAATATGCAGACAAATGAAGAAATGTGTCACAAAAAAAAAGGTTCTCAAAATCAGAACTTAAGCTTGCTAAGCATACTACATATAAATCTTTGCATTCGTAAAAATAAACTATAAGTATTTTTTCAAGTACATGTATTGTTCTCGGTTATCTAAATTTTTTTTAAATTTTATTTCCTTGCAGAAATCAAATCCAGAATAAAGATATATGATTTATGGATTCTGATTTTTTCTATGATTAGTAGTGATTTTAAATACTTGCTTCAATCATATATTAGCAAATTTAGTGATATACATGCTTGAGGAGGTAAATGAAAATTTCCAATTAAAAAATATGCCTTATGGATGCATTTTCAAAGTTGTAAAAATGTCTTTCACATGCTGACTATTGAAAAGTTTTGCTGCAAGTTAAGGTTTATCGTTATAGTATTAATTCTGTTTGATTAAAAAAAAAAAAAAAAACTTCAGAGGTTTTTTACACAGGCATTTTATCCACAATACAATGAGAAAAAAACTTCAGATACTATGATCCCTAAGATTTTTCTCTCTTTGTTATAAAGAAAAAGGTGGTGCCAATAATGTTTTAGTTTATTTCCACTTCCTTTTTACTCACAAAAAATGATAAGCACATACACAATTTTCCAAAGCAGCATTCACACACACTTCTCTCAGGCAAGCTTTTTATTATGTTAAATGAGACATGCATAACTTTGATGAACTAATAACTTCATAAAATAAGAATTAAATATTCTAATTACTGTTTTCTTTTTCCTTGTTTTGGTCAGGTACAGTCTATGAATACAAATTCTAGGATATGATACGTTATAGAACTTCCGTCATATTTACTTTTTTAATATACAATGATTTGAGGTTAAGATCAGTTTGATTCCTGAAAACATAACGCAAATATTGTGACTATATAACAAAGTTTTATTTTATATATGCTGTCATTATGTCTAGCTACCTATAAACTTTTTCCTGTTACAATGACAAATAAGTGGCAATTCTATAAAAGAGATTTGTCATACTTTCAGAATTTGATGGGTTTTTCACTCAATCAGAAATTATGCTAAACTCAGACATTAAAGTTAGAATAGCAATACATCCAGATACTGCAAAATATATATTTTACTGTTAAAAAAACTACACATTTTCAATAGTGTATATTCATATCTTACAATATGGGAAAGCAAGCAAGTCTCACATTTAGTTTGACAAATACAAAAATTTGTTTTATACAAAAGTTAACTCTACACCATAACACATAAATGTTAGGCTTCAGCTCTTATTTTTCAGTTTATTTACTTATTTTTACAAGAGCTTTTCTGCATAAACTTACACATTTTGTCATGTTAGAATACCTTCTAAAAAAGATGTTCTTTATCATCAAGAGCCAAAATTTCTCAAAAATGACTGCGTAGTCATATATATAAACATGTTTAGACGATTACTTAAAATACAGACTTGGACAAACACATAAAAACAAAAAATTTGAAACTCCTATGTTACTGGTAACAATGCTATTGCATAGTTTCATATTGCCTTTATTGATTGCATATATATATATAAATATAATATATATATCTGGAATTTGCTATTGCATACTTTTTAACTTCACAAAAATAAGCTGACAGACAACCAGAATCTTTTCATCTTTCTACTAATTATTCAAAGTTTTAATTTTTTAAGATGTTTTCAGACGTTTCTTCCTTTTGGTCAAATAATAAAGTACTAATCTCACATCTCTATATTAAGGAAACCAAAAAGCGAAAAAATTTACTGTAAAAACATAAAAATGATATCAACTTATCCATACAATGTATCAGTACTTTTCAGAAAATTATTTATTAAGCAACAAGGATAAATACTATACAAGTTTGTATGGTAAACCACTGTCATGAAAAAATGTACAAAATTATTAAAAACATTTACATGGTATTTGATCTGAGCTCCACAGCTCCAGTAAGTTTAAGTTAGTTTTGTTCACCTTTAATTGGACCAAAATTGTCTACTGGTGAATGTGACAGATCACATAACCATGAATGGCATTTGCATAGAGATAAAATAATTCTTGATTTGCTACAAAAAGTAACTACAAGTATCAAACAGAGAATAGGAAATTCCTATCCTTGCATATTAAGAATATTAACGTCAAACTGTTAAAGTTTAGGTAACAAAAATAATTTTATAAGTTAAGTATAGCATCTGTTGTGGTTTTAACTTTTTGAGCACTTATACAACATGATACCAATACCAAATATTATCACTATGCCTAAAGAAAGTTTGAGAATTGACCTTCGTTTTTCCCACATTTCATATTCCTTTTGCTTCTTCTTAATATTATGTATCATGATAGCTGTCTTCTCCTCACGTTCTTTACGAGCACGTTTTCTCAACTCTGAAAGACTGGAAATAAAAAAATAAAAGTATATAAAAAAAATATGAAGCCATACTCATAACTACGAAACATGTTCATAAAATTAAAAATATATAAACACACTATATTGGTTAGATACTAAACAATACCTAAAAATGGGAAAACCTGAAAGAGAAGACACTACATCTGAAATATTACAAAAAAGAGGAAAATACTAATTAAAGGCAATTATATAAACTGTATACAGCACAATATCGCACTTATATAAAGTAGGGAAATTACATAAAAAGCAGCAAACAGCTGACAACCAGAACTTTGTGACAAGAAAGATATGCCATACATTAACTTTCATAGGCCATTGTTCAATGAATTTTTCCAGCATAAGCTTCAGACCCATCAGTGGATACTGACTAAGGATCTTAACATGTTTAGGGTGTGTCAACACATCGTTCCCCACATGTTAAACGTAGATCAAAAGAGAATTCGAATGAAATGGTGGGAGACTTAATCTCGGCTGTTGATAAAGATACTTCCCTACTTGGCAGAATTGTTACTGGAGACGAGAAATGGTGTTTTTTGTACGACTTGCAAACCAATAGAGCATTGGCAACGTGGAAATCACCACAATATCCACAGAGGCAGAAATTCCCCCATGATCGCTCTAAAGGAAAGGTCATGCTATAGGTATTCTTCGATATCCAGGGCACTGTGTATCTAGAATTTATCCCTGAAGGATGCACTGAAAACAAAGATCTCTACGTCGAAATACTGTGTCGTTTGTGAGATGATCCGGAAGAGATCAAATATGTGGACTGAGCAGTCATGGGTGCTGTTGCATGACAATGCTCCTGCTCACAGATCCCTACTTGTCAATGACTTTCTTGCAAGAACGAAAACAACTGTTTTGCCTCATCCTTCTTACTCGCCTCATCTCGCACCCTGCGATTTTTTTTTATTTCCTGAACTGGCAAGACACTTACAGGGTCGTCGATTTCAATCTTCAGATGAAGTTAAATGTGCATCGCAGGCTAAATTTAAGGACATAGCCAAAAATGGATTCCAGACATGCTATGCCTTACATGAAATTTACAGGCGCTGGCATAAGTGTGTTGTTGCACAAGGGTCCTCAAAGGAGGATGTGTTTCTGCAATTTAATTCATAATATTTTTTACATTACAATCTCAGTCCAGGAACTTTTGAATTCTACCTCCTATATGGTTTTCTAATAACCATTTAACCACATTTTGTTCCACTGGAGGTAGTGTAGTGTTAAGAGAGAAATAAAAATACTACAAATTTGTCCTGATGTTGTAATTTGGCACTGGCTGATTGTTTGCAATCAGCATAAAACGTTTTATTTAAAAAAAAAAATCATTTTGAAATATCTCTGATAAATCACACGCTTTTAACCACCCCTCTTAAAAAGTCAGAATAAAGTGAGACTGGTAAAGATCAAAGTGCTGAAACATTAAAAATTCGTGTATTGGAGGCCATGACAGGCACCACATAATTTATGAACAGATTTTTCTGTATTGAAGAACTATTGAGCTTCATGCAATTATTTAGCATGAAACGGCTAAATGTACAGGCTTTTTAAATCAGGTCCTAAGAGAATTTTTAAAAGACCTGACACTGATGATCAACATGCTACAAGAATTATCGTTTATGAATTTAAAAATACTTCCTTGCTGATAGATAATTACCTGCACTTTCTGTGCACAATACGTTTCATTAGGGCCAGTCATCTCCTTTAATTCTCATAAAACATAACTGAATGAAAAGTATCATGTAACAGTTGACATGATGAAGAATCAATCTATCGGTTTTTAAAACAGAGCATAAGCAATATTCTGCAACTTTATTCTTAGGTTATTATCATACCAAATGAATATTTTATAAGCATTGTCTTGAGAAATGAAAATAGTTTTAGATGTGATAGTATTTATTTATTTCAAATAATACAAGTCATTCCACAGTTGAGTATAGTACAGTCACTTAAACTCAGAATCCCTGGATTATGTCTACAGCTTTTCAGTGTTTAAAGATACATCATTCATACGCATATAGTTTGGTTAGGACCCGAAAAATGACATTCTGTCAATTATGGTTAAGCATATAAAACTTTCCATCAAATGCCTTTAAAGAGGTATGTCTAAGGGGAAACTTGTTCATATTCACATTATGCATGAAGAAAACCATAAAAATACTTCCCAGGTGAATGATTACAACTTGAAGATGTTTCTTTTCACTTTATTCTAATATAATACAGCATATCAATCCTCCTACACAGATAGCTGAAAAATCACAACAAAATTTGAGAAAGCTAAAGGAACACTGGGAAGCATAAACAAAAAGAGAATGAGGCTAGTCACTGCCTCAATGGAGTTACTGCACATAACTAAAGTAACAGGCAGCTTTCAAAATTATTTTGCAATGTACAGTTCTTGAGATAAAAATTCTTTAGGCAGTAATTGTATTTTTTTATTGCTATCATTTCATAATGTTTTCCCATTCCTATCATTGACTTCTGAATCAGATATTTCCACTTAATCTAATTTTCGGTTCCAACAATAACTAATAGATCAAACCATAAGAAATATAGTAGAAGACCAAAAATCTGCACAGTTTAGGAATCAAAGTATCTTACAGTTAAGATCTTTTTACAGTGATAAATGAAAAATTATTAGATTTAGACAAGCCAAAATTAATAAATAATTCAGTAAAACATATGAAAGCAATTAACTTCTCTTTTTAAATTTTATATAAAAATACAGATAAATATAAATTTTTTATTTTTATTTTGTTTGTAAGAAATATATATTTTAAACATTATTTTACAAGAAAAATAACTACAAATAAAAAGATATTCACAACAGAAAAACAACATCCAGAAGTGTAATTTACTGCACACCAATTGCATTTCAAGGTCTTTATGAAAATAAATATAGGTCTCACTAAATTCAGAAAAAGATGTACATGTTGCACTACCATAAGCTTTGCAGAAGTAATTGTGACTACTGAAACTAGCAGATTTTTATTTACCTAGAGCTTTGCCCAAAGGAGTTTTAAGATAATCAGTCAACAATAAAACTTGCTGAATCTAAAAAATATATTTCGTGAACAAAACATATTTACACAAAGTTTTATGATCTGGATGACCTTCATAACAAAAATATTAGAAACCTATCATACCTTTCAAGAGCAAATGATTACAGATATGATAACTAAACCAATATTTCAATTTTGCAAAAATCATTTAAATTAGTTCGAGTTATTTAAGGGCAATGTTACGGAAATTCAATATTTTTACATAATGAAACTCAATGAACATTCACCAAAGTATAAAGCTGGCAAGTTCAAATGAATCCATGTCTTCATAGAGGACTTTTTTATGAAAACTGACTCATATGTAAGTTACACATGGGAAAAACCATGAAAACGTTCATGCAGCCAGCCTGTTAGCAAGATATCTGAACCCCACTCGAACTACCTACATTCAGTGCCATTACTGTTCAGCTGCTTGTGGGCTTCTTGGGAATAGAAGCAACTGTATATATGTAGATAACATATAAAATAACTGAAAATCTAACTTTCATTATTTTAAATAGCAAAATGAAAATAACATTATACAGCAAAATAATGCAAACTTTAAGGCATGGTTTCTATCAAAATGGCACCTAAACTGTTTTGAATGGTTTAGATGATTCAATTAAATAAAAATATCAAACTGTGGAAAGATTGTTCTGTCTGTCCATTTAAATCTCTACATCATTCTAGATTTATCTATATCATTTATCTGTATGTCTATATTATTCTAAAATATTTAAATCTCTATATCATTCTAAAAACATTTTAATCTTATAAGTGTTTCAGAATAAAATTGAGGTACTCTTTTTTTTTTAATGATTAAGGTAAAGCAAATAATGACATTCTGCTGAAGAGAAAACTCTGTAGACGACTTTCTAATGGTAAAGCAAACATCTAATGGACTTTCTAAGGGAAAGACAGAAAAGCGGAAAATTCCAAAAACATACAAGAAGTCAACCAGTCCACCAGGTTATGAACTATGGTTGAATTACCGAGGTTTAGTGGTTTTTATCCATTAAGGAGGCTTAAAGAAAACGAGAATAACATTGGACTGATACAGTTATTTATTATTCAGTATAACCACATACTGATTCTTAAATTACATTATTTCTGAAGGGCTAAAAGACTATCTTCTATATAGTAGCATACAAGAACCATTACATTTTTTGACATAAAAGTGAACAATAACTTACTCAAAGTAGCAGGAAAAAGTTATGGATAAAAAAATTACATCAGACATGTCAAATACTCTCCGCATAGAAAATAAAGATTACACAGCAACTCTCTATTTGCTTTAGTTAAAGAAGAGAAGTTATTGTTTATTAATTGCAATTTAACAGTCTGAGGGCCACAGGTTTTTAGATCTGTCATGAAGACCTGTATTTAAACAGCTTTTATGAGTTAAATTTGTACACTTACTTATTTTAATCTCTACTTTCAAAAACTTACATTCATCAGGATAACATCCATATTATTACAGAAAATAAGAAAGCAAAATGTCTTAAGCCAATATATATACAAAAAGAAAAAAAAATCTCATAAAGCTGGTCATGGCACTTAGCTGGGTTATGAAACTGAACCTCAAAGAACTTATTTGTACTATTTTAACTTTTATGACTTTTCAAAGGAAAAAAAAAAAAAGTGTTTATACTTTCCTAAACCACATTTCACCTCTTCGAATTTTCATAATTTTTCTGGTGAGCAGGGGAACTTTCAGTGCTAGTTAAAATTAAGATATCCATTATAATGATCGACAACTGCAACTTGTACTCAAACTGATGGTTATGAGATTAATTCTGACTTTTCACATCTGCTCTACATGGGATTACATTGTAACATGGTAAATTATCCAAAATTGAAGCAAAACAAAACAAGTATTCTAAATTTTCTAAATTTTGGTTCACATGTTTTTCATGCACAGGTTTATAAAACTTAATTTTGCTCGGAGGTCACCCTCAACGCTACAGTATGGTGCATTCTCATCACAATGTATTTCAAGCACAAAGACCTAATTATATGCAATTTTCCCTTAAATACAAGCAACAATATGATTTTATTCAACAATCACACTATAAAATACTGACAGCAAGAAAAATACGACAAATTTAAAAAAGGCAAATGCCAAATTTATCATTTAGTTTTGTGGTGAGGTACTTAAATCTTCAATAAGGTTAAAGAGTCAACATTTATACAAAAGCATTTTTTAACATCTTATCATAATAAAATATGTTCAATTAATTTAAGTTATTCTAACCTAATGCTAATAATGGATTGTATATGTAGTATTTTTCAGCTTAGGCCATTTACAAAATACAAGTTGGCATTAACTATGAGCTGCATTTCTGCCATTACTTTTATCCCCCTTTTCAACATTATTCAATTAAAATTTCCACTGTTACATACAAGTGGAAAATTTCTGAATAAGCCCATCTTCAAGGGAAGAGATAAATCCAATGGCATTTTATGGCTACTTATTATCAAGTATTTACAAATGCATTGAAAATAATATTTAACTGCTTAATTGGTTTCACATCATCTACATTAAACGATTAAATTAATTATTACACATTTAGCTAGAGTTAGCTTCCTTATCTAGCGATTTTGCCCTTTAAGAACTACTCGTGTGTTGTGTTGTTATATATGTAAACATTCTGAGAAAATTTGCCTTGGAAGAACTACTTGTGTGTTACGTTATTACATATGCGAATATTCCAAGAAAACTTGCCTCAGTGATATGGACTTTTAAGCAATCAGGAAGCAAAAACAATAGCAGGGTTCAGAATTCTATCATCCAGTTCTTGATGAGCCTCAGTAGATTTGGAGGGAAAAAACATCACGTTACAATTTTGTTAATCTATTGTGAAATTGAAAAATTAATAAAAACCTTCCTGCCAGTTGTAGTTTACCTTTCAATGATACACGTGGCAACAGATTTACTTGAAGTAGCATCAGATACCGCAGGCAGTGTATCTTCAGATTCAGCAATGTTTTACTATTAGAATACTGATTATCAACACTGCATTTTATCTCATGTTTAATTTGTTCTACACTGGATAGCTTACAAATATGAAACCCTAATTCTCCATTGCAATCTAAAAAATGAATGCTAGATACAGATTCCAAAAAAGGGTATAAATCTCTTGAACTCTATGCTGACCTTGGTGGTAAAGGTGGTGGTGATGAATCAGAAGCATCTTTATTAGCATCTACCACTGAAATTTCCTCACTACTTTTACTTGAATAACAATCTTGCTTGCAGGTCTGGAAAAAAAAAAATATATATATATATATATACTATAATCATAAAAATGCAAAGGTATCAAACTATAGCTAAAGTACTATTATCTTGTAATACACTGTTATAAATATCTTAAAACTTTTTTTTTTTTTCAGAGACATGCAATGTAATTTCAAACACACATATGCTGAAAGGCTATCTTATTAAGTACATATTGTATGAATATAAACAGATGTGAAAGTTTCAAACAGAGTAACTCAATGTGTTTTAACAACTTCAAGTTTCAACATAACAGAAAAGACAAAATAAACACAGATGAATTTTAACATGCAATGTTTAATTATGCTACATGTATTTCATAATTTAAGCGCTAACACCACAGCTATCATCACTTTTCACAACTAATTTCGTTTGCCCTGAATATAATATGTGTAAAAATTTATCCCACTGCTATGCTTCTGAAGTTATTGCTCCAATTCATTGTAACAGATATTTTTATCATTAGATGTGCCATATCAGATTAATAAATATACGAAGAAAATAATATACATGTAAATATAATTTTAGTACTACTTAAACTCTAGGAATATAACACTGATTTATTAAAAAAATTACCTGATTATGAGTTTGACTTGCTGAAGGCACATTGTTAGAATTCCTATTCGGCAAAATTCGCTTAGCACCTTCAATAATTGCTAGGTATGAAAATCGTAACTGATCTGGTGTTTGAATCAAACCCATCCTATAATGACGCATTTCCAATAATCTTTGACGTATATTAATTGAGTCTGGATCATTATTTTTCTCAATCTGTAAAATTTTAATTGACAATAAATATGAAAGTATGCTTTTTAAGAAATTATATTATTGTACAGCATAAAAATATGCAACATAATTTATAACCAAAAATCTTAATTCAGTTTATTTTACAAATTCATTACTTCAAAATTGCAAGAAAAAAAATGCAACAAACATTATTTACAGCTAATTTAACATTCATATAAATATAAAAACAATGCAACAGCGTTATCAAAAGTTTCAAAAACCATCATTTTCGAGAATTGATTACTTTCCCAACTTTAAAACTGCATAATCCTCTATTGGTTATAACCATAAAAGTGCAAGATTCCAGTTCATTATATGCGAAAAATTCTGTCAATTCTTAACATTCTGAGGCCAGGGCTTTAGCAGCTGTAATAGCCTTGAACTGAATGCTTCCCCTCCTTTCAAGAAATCATCTTCTATTTACAACAAAGATCCTTGTGTGTAATTTAATAGTAGTTTTCAGAGAGGATGCACATATGTCACAAAAGGTAAGGAAACGTAGGGATTAGTGACAAAATTCAAAATTCTTTTTATCATTGAGGAAAATTTTCATATTGCTGTTGTTCTGGAATGAGACTACTTGGCGTTATGCTGAAAAACTTCCGTTACAAAAAATGTCACTCTTTATATTAGAAAACGTTACATTCCTTTCTACAGAAATTTTGTTTGAATTTTAAAATATATCACAAAATTATGTGTCTTTAGAAGCGTTTATAGTAATTATTTCTATCATATCTTTACATTAATGTTATGTTACAAAATTATTCCAATTATTTGATTACTTTATGGACAATTTTAAAGTTAACTAGTCTTCATCTCAGTCTTTTTTCACTGTTAAATATCCTCATAATTTAATGTTACAGAAATAATTAAAAATTAAAGTTTGGTGAAACTGTTAAAATTATAGGCATAATGAAATTTTAATTTTACATAAATGCTAAAAATCTGCTCGTTAACATAATATTTAAGGAGAAATCTGTCAGCAAATCAGACTATGCCTGGTTTCATTTTAAAATAACTTTACTTTATTGCAGATTGTTAGTATTGCAATGTCCAATTATAGAAGTGTTTTCCTAATTTACATTTCGTTCTTTTCCAAAATAGTATCTGCAGAATAAAACAGAAACTGCAAAATTGTTTCCTAGAGTAATATATTTTAGCTATAAAAATGAGGAAAAAAAAAAAGGATCATTTAATCAAGTACCTTTTATACTATTTGCTAAAAAATTAGTTATATATTTCAGGTATTAACAGTAGAATGAATTTAAGTCATTGAAAATGTCAACTTATTTAGTATGCAAACCCGTAATTCAGAACACATTTACACGTAAATTCCCTTCCTCTCTTTACACTATATTCCAAGCCTCATTAAGGGATCGTGTTCACTCGGTTACCAAAATTAAGATAATTTCTAAATGACAAGAGCTTTTCAAACTTAAGAGGAAATTGTTTGTTCTCTATAGTTTCTGAAAAGCTGCAGGGAAAAAGTTTTTTTTTACATGATCGATAGCTGTTTCCAATACCGTATATTATTATGCTACATAATTTAGCACATTAGCAGAAATTTCCATATAATTTCAGATTCCTTGTTTAACGAAAATCTCTCCTCTTTGAAATTGTCATTGCACATGAATTTTTCTATTCCCTTTGCTGCCTAAACCAGTTCATATCAACTCCAGACTGTCTTTGCAGCAGCTTTCACATCAACCATGCCACATATTTTATATTGTGCAAATTAAATTCTACAATATATTAGTGAGTATCTTTATGTGATATTTACTAAAAAAACTTCAATGCCAGGTCAAGTGAGTCCTATACTGAAACAGTTGGATTGTTTTCCCCCTTTTCTACCGAAAATTCAGCACCCATTCACTGTGTTGATTAGCATCTCGGTCATTATGCTTTATTATCAAAACTATTTTATAAAGCCCCGTTTACATGCAATGCTTTTTCGCGCAGCCACCATTTGTATTAGGGAGAAACGGGGATATGAAGCAGTTTTGTTTTCAGGACCGGTTCAGATGCACATCTTCTTCCATTTCTCAACCCGTAAGATGATGTGAATGATGTCACAAACACGGATCGGATTGGCGGATTTCTAACGTTTGCTCACATCTTTTTTTGCCATTGTTTATACTATCCAAAGCCATCGGAACTCTTTAATTAACTAAAATACACCTAAATTAATTTAAAATGCAATTTATATACGAGACCAAATGGTTAAAAGACGAAAAGAAAATCACGTATATTGCTGAAAGGTTACTGTTAAAATTCAGTTCAACAGCAATATCGCAAAATAATTTTAAAATGATCTTTAGAATTTCTGATACACAGTTTCGCACACTGGAGATAAAGAAGTTTCCTTCAAGGAGATAAAGAAGCAAGGATACTTTGATAGCTTCTTTGATAAACAGCACATCTCTGTGGAGCTTTGTTCTGATGGGCCAGCGGCCTGTCAATGAAATGGTATCAGAGACTCGAGCAGAGCTGACTGAAGTTTCTGAATCATTGATGAGTTGTTTTATAAGATTTTTTCTAAAATCTTCGAAAGATAATTCGGAAATTTTCTTTTTGTACAAAATAAAGGAGTTTAAAAGTCCTAAAATGGTTAAGTGGAAAACGATTTTCTTTGTCCATTTTAAAGAATTTTCCTCCCGAATGTATAATTATTTGCCATTTGGTCACTGAAGTCAATGAATCCCATATTTTTGTTGTAGGTTGGTACAATTTCGGGTTTTCCTGTTTCGTAATTTTTCCTGTCATCTTTGCAACAGGATCATGCATATTGCTGAGCATAAAAACTTCATTCTCGTCTTTCTAACAAGTTGCAGTCATCCCTGATGAAAATTTTATTTTGATTTGTACTTTCTGCATTTCGATGCCAGCATTCAGTTTTCGATAATTTTTCTGATTGTAGCAAATTGTACAACTGTTGATTTTATATTTATGCAGCAATTCATGAAATAAATCCAGTGAAGAAAAGAAATTATCCATAAAAAGATCATGCCCTTTGCCTTTTACACTTTCTCCTACTGCTATTACTGTGTTTTGAGCAGCACATTTCCCATTGTTTGACTTGTGGGAATCTCTTCCGAGATATACTTTCATGCCATACGTGTAACCATGGCAGTCTGCAAGCCTGTAAATTTTAATTCCAAAATGCTTATGCTTTTTAGGAATGTATTGTTTAAAACTTACTCTTCCCTTAAATAAAACAATTACTTCATCTACAGAGAGGTTTTTGGAGGGTTCATATACTTTATAAGTACACCTGTTATGAATCGTTAGTTGTTACAACATAACAAGATGCAGACAAAATCTTACTATAAAATAAAAAGATTACCATATCAACACCAAATATAATTTTATTCACCAACTCAGTAGTCAAAAACTCATCTTCTATTTTTAAAAATAAACTGGATTATAAAGTTAAAAACCATTGCCAAAAACGATAATATAATAATATGCAAAGTAAACAATTATAATTATAAAGTATTTGTGAGTTATTTCCAAACAAATTATTTACATTTTATGCTGTTACAATTACCTTAAAATTGTTTTTCAAATAATCAAATGTCTACCTTATTTTCCAAAATTGATCATAATTAAGATCGTTTCTGTCTGGTGGTGACATGTTATCTTCAAAGTAAAGAAAACTAAGAATTTGCAGGTATCTATCTCTATATATAGTTTTCTTTTAAAAAAAAGGTGTTTCAAGCATTTCGTCGGTCGACCAGTAATCTTTTATGCAGTCTTCTTGAATATGCCCCATCATATTATTTCTTAAATTTCAAAATGATTTACTAAAGTTTTTGGCGCTGACATGCAAAAACTTTAGTAAATCATTTTCATTAACATCTTTCCATGTAACTGTGAGCTTCCCCCCTTCTAATTCAGGGCTAAATTTGCCTTAGTATTTGTTCATTATGATTGGTTTCCTTGACAATTTTTTCAATCCTATTTCACCAGAAAAGTTTTTTCAAAAAAATCAATTTCTTTTGCAGCTTGATATTCAAGGCCTTTTATATAGTTTCTGCCAATAAATTTCAAAGTGTTTACCTTCATCAGCTTTTGGTTCAAGCCATTCAAATTTTGAATAAAGAGCTATTTTCTCCATGTTATCAGTTTATTCTTCACTGTAATTTACCAAATTTGTCAATAAATAAGAAGTTCATTCACATCCTCATGTTTACTTTAAGATCTATTTTCTATATCCAGTTCGCAATTGGATTCACTATTGCCGCAGTTTTTATCATCAAGCTCTTGAAGAAGTTTTTGTATTTCTTCTTCAGTTTCTTTTCCTTTTCGACATACTGCTATATAAGAGCAAAATAATTCCTAGTGAACTTACGAAAATATGCAATATTCTAAAGCAACGCAAAGCTCTGTTTACAAATGCAATTATCCTGAATTCTGCAGCTACAAGAATAAAAAGGGGAAAATTGGAGAAACCGGATCCTTAGCACAAAAACCTTTGAAAGAGATTAGCGGTTAAGACTCCAGGGACATTAAATTTAACATATAATCCTACACTTTCAGCCTAGAAAATGGGGGGAAAATGACATGGCCACTAAAGTGGACAAGCCCGTCCTTTCAAACAGGCCTAACTACTGCCATTGTAATTTCCATGCCATTCTCAAAGAGTTAACAAACATAATAATTCACAAATATGATAACTGCAGTAAGTACTTATGCACACTTTTAACACAAAAAAAAAATAAGATCAAGATTTATAAGTGTGCATTATATGTTGGATATAATATGGTAGCTTTAAAAATAAGAAAGATTTGTATATATGCACATACAAAAGTTAGAGATACACCAATGCTGTTTATTTAAAAGAAATGACATATTTTATGAAATTTTTTCATTATTGGATAACATGAAAAGGTCAGTATATTCGTCTTCATATACACTTTTAGGCACATCATTGAATTCTGTTTCAGCTTCACCATGATTGTTGACCCATAAATAAATAATCGTCT